TCAAAAATTAGATACGACACGTGAAATCAGTACTCGTCACCTGTTTTCCGTGGATCTTAGTGCATCGTAGATTTAAATAAAAGTAAAATAAATCGATTTCCTATGTTACCAAATTCTGAAGCTTTGTATAATGTAATGTTTAAGAATTCGGTAAAATGCTTACCTGCAGATTATTTCATAAGAGTAGGGACCAGTTGTACTTGTTATAAAAACTAACAACAATCTAAACTAAATGAGTCAATCATGTAATATTGGTATTTACATTTGTTAACTAATCAACACGTCATGACCACACGAATAATTTATAAACAGTCAAACTGTCCACTTCTCTAATGAAATACATTAAGTTGTATATTAATTTTATTAACAGTGTTGTTTGTTATAATATAATAATATTATAATACTACAACAACAAAAGCTATACGGATATATAGTTACCACGAATTTAAATTTAATTCTAGCTAAACATTTGTGATTAATATTATATACTATTATTTGTTGTATTCTATACACAAACTATACATTATATTATTTGTTTGCCCGAAGGTTTAAGCTTAGGATATACCTACGAGAAAACAGAATGCGTTTTGCAGTCTTATTGAATACCGCGGATAACGTAACCATGGTTACGATAGATTTAATCATTTTTATTTTTTTTTAGTAGATTTTAATGCATACTATATAACACTACCGTTCATAATAATAATGTTGTTTAGTCTACGTTGTATAATATTATAATAAATCTTTCTTGACGGAATATTATTTTTTTTTTTGCCTTACAAGATATTATTATAATTAAATAACTACGTTGTTGCAGTTGCTGTTATTGTTTTGAAGTTGATACACGCGTATACATCCAACTCACAAGCATTTTACAAAATTGTAATTTATTTCTCGATAAAAAGTTTAAAACGTACACCATTTATCTACATAAAATATAATTTAAAAGAAATACTGGTTATATATGTATATTACAGCTGTAACTAACGTAGTAACGCGATTCCTAATTATTATTGCGCCTGTCACAGTCAATTTCATTTATATAAGTCCCGTCTCCGGGCAATAGATTACAGTTCACCAAGCTTCGTAGAATAATAATAATTAAATCCTGCTAAGTTTCTGCTGACAGTTAATCACAGATGACAAGATATATATAATACAGTTTATTTTTCTTAATAAAATCGAGTTTTTATACTTCTCGGAAAAGACTGAATGAGAAAACTCATGGTTTTTGATGATGGGAATGATGATGCCTCAATAATGGCATTCATTGCTGATAATATGTCTATTTATATCCAAAAAGTGGTGAAAAATGTATACCAAAATATTACTATAAATATTAGCGAAAGTATCACAAGTAAAAAGGGACCAATTGGCGAACCGTGAAGAAACACAACTTTTTTGTATAAAATAAAATTCGCCATTGCTTTTACACTAAATTCTAATTTATAACCCACTTTAGCACTTACCACAAAATGTCTGCTAAGACAATATTATTACATGTTTTATTTTAAAAAATACCAATTTTAAGTTCCACAACTTTTGTTTAATTTTTTTTTTTATCTTATGTGCATTTTAAGACTTTATAGACTTTAATGATACTTTTACCATATCATAATAAGAAAATAATAAAACATTTTTTATTATATTGTGTTAATAGGACTAATAATTCTAAGACTATTTAGGTAAAATAAGATTATTATTTGTAAACTACAATCTGTACAAGGTATTGAAATTGTACATTCGTCAGACATCTGTTTTCTATGCATGGAATGAATAAAACAGAAGTGCGTGAAGTCCCCCCCCCCCCTCACCCACACTTTGAGACTTGACTTGCTAATTTTGAAAACCAACCTTTGCTAAGGATTCGCTTTTATTGTCAATAATTTGGAGTGGATTGCGTAAAGAGGGTGGGCCAAGTGCATGGACGTGTTGTATATTAATAATTAAAATTATAATTTGATAAGTCATTAATTGATGTGATAACTATCTATGACAATAGTATAAAATATAGACTTTATATAGCCACCACCAAGAAACGCCTCTTCGACTCGCTGCTCAGCTATAATAGATCCCGCAACCGGTACTCCGTTCCTAGTCATACTTACATACTTTTTTTAATAAAACAATACAACTGAAATAAAAAAAGACGAAGAGTTGAAAATCTTAACTCAAGTTGAGGACAAAAATCTATATTTTAATAATAAATATGTAATTTGAATACAAAATATTCTTGATTAAATTAAAATCCTAAACTAATAAAAAAATGTGATATTAATAAGTGGACCAAAATTACTAAAAATTTAGTATTAATAAAATTCAAAATGAATAATAAATAATCTTAATTTAAAATCCTAGTTGAAAATAAATGTTTGATACTAGGTTTGAATGCGTAGGTGAATAAAGATGGTGTTGTACATATACATAACAAAATTATAAAAAATCAAAACAATGATGCAAAATTGAATAAAGCCGAATCAGCAAAATTGCTACCACTACATAAGGCGACGTCTGCGACGGGAGCGGGGCTGTTCAGTTTTTGGATCACTCATTGTCGTGGCTAACAAGCAGTTTTTTGACGTTTCTTTATATTATTTGTTTTTTGATATTCTTTAATATATTATATTTAATTCATTTAACCAAGTGTTACTGTTTTATTTACGACTATTTTATCTTGAGTGTAAAGAGACGTTGGCGGTGGAAAACACTTTTGAAAGAGATATTAAGACACTGTAATACTTACTTTCTCGTCCAGTACTCGTTATCGTGGTCAGTCGAGAAAGAGTAAGACTTTGCCTAGGTTAAAGATATCTCACTCTCAAACATCCAGTACTCGTTATCGTGGTCAGTTGTTAGAGAGTAAAGTAACTTTAGAGTAGTATTGTGTAAAACCTGTTTGGACCTAGTTTAATTATCTTTTGTGCAGTACTCGTCATCGTGGTCACCAAAAGAATAATTTAAATAAAGTTCATACAGCAGGTATCGATAATTTACTTGTTTGACGGTTAGAGAATC